AGGCCGAGGCAGGCTGATGCTGAGGCTGAGGCAGGCTGATGCTGAGGAAAAGGTTGAGGCTGAGGCTGAGGCAGGCTGAGGCTGAGGCTGAGGCAGGCTGAGGCTGAGGCTGAGGCAGGCTGATGCGGAGGCAGGCTGAGGCTGAGGCTGAGGCTGAGGCTGAGGCTGATGCAGGCTGAGGCTGAGGCAGGCTGAGGCTGAGGCCGAGGCTGAAGGCAGGCTGTGGCTGAGGCTGAGGCTGAAGCAGGCTGAGGCTGAGGCTGAGGCAGGCTGAGGCTGAGGCTGAGGCAGGCTGATACTGAGGCAGGCTGAGGCTGAGGCTGTGACTGTGACTGCCGTTGCCACTGCGACTGTCATCGCGAATGCGACTGCGACTGCGAGAACAGGAGAATTCTACAACTGGATTCTCATCTGGATTTTAAGGGGAATGTTTCCATATATGCTTCTACACATCGCTGTTAGGTTGCTTTGCCGGGATTTTTTTTTTTTTTTTTTTTTTTTTTTTTTTTTTTTAAATCCGGGAAAGTCGCAAGGTTCAAATTGCGCCCCTGGCCCCCAGGTTACAACAACAACGGCTCCCGCTCAAGATTTCCTTACAATTTAGCCAGGACCCCCGCTCCCGCCTGAGACTTCCTCGCATTTGACTAAGGAATCGCGCTCTCGTTTGGACTTCCTTACAATATATTCAAGAATCGCTCTCTCGGCGCTCTGGAGTCGCGCTTTCGCTAAAAACTTGTTCGCAATGTATTCACGAATCACAATCTTGCGTTGGAGTTGCCCGCAATTTACTCAAGCGCTGCTCTCCCGACACTCGGGCACCCAGGAGTCGCGCTCACGAATCGGGATCTCGCTGCCCTTCGTGGCCCCCTCGCTGCCCTTCGTGGCCCCGTTGCAGCCCTTCGTGGCCCCCTCGCTGCCCTTGGTGACCCCGTTGCAGCCTTTCGTGGTCCCTTCGCTGCCCGTGGTGGCCCCGTTGCAGACCTTCGTGGCCCCGTCGTTGTCCTTCGTGGCCCCGTTGCAGCCCTTCGTGGCCCCGTTGCTGCCCTTGCTGGCCCCGTTGCTGCCCTTCGTGGCCCCGTTGCAGCCCTTCGTGGTCCCGTCCTTGCCCTCTGCGGCCCAAGATACGTATGCCCTTCGTGGCCCCCGCTCGTTGTCGCCCGTCGTGGCCCCGTATGCATGCCCTTCGTGGCCCCGCTGTCGCCAATTATGGCCCCCTCGCTGCCCTTCGTGGCCCCGTTGCGTTGCTACCCTTAATGGCCCCGTCGTTGCCTTCTGTGGCCCCGCATTATCTGCCCTTCGTGGCCCCCCCCGCTCGTTCGCGTCCGTTGTGACCCCATACGCATGCCCTTCGTTGCCGCTCCCCCTCCCCTTCCCCTCCGTCCTGCTCGCCACTGCGTTCCCCTCTGCGAAGTGGCCTTGTGGGTGCTTCGCGCGGCGGATCCTTCTCGGGCTGGGAGGCCCCCCCCGCTCCCTCTCGCTTCCCCCTCCCCCTGCCTTCCTGCCTGTCCTCGTCGCTGCGCTCCTCTCCCTTCTCCCCTGTGACCCCCCCCCGCTCCCCCTCGCTTCCCCTCCCCCGCCCCCGTGCCCTCCTGTCTGCTCGTCCCTGCGCGTCTCTCATTCCTCCCCTCTGCACAATTACTCAATATGAAAATACTCTCCCTCTTCCCCTGATGGCGTCCGGGTGATGGCCGCGCACCCTCCGCGTACTGTTTTTTTACACACAGGATTCCCGGGAAATCCCGGGAAACGACTCTCGCTGAGGCGCCAGCGTCATTTTTTCCCAAACTGCTGCTCTCGTTGAGGCGCCGGCCTCATTTCTGCTCCCGAATCGTTCCGAATCGTGCTCCCGCTGCAGCGTGGGCCTCATTTTCGGATCGGTGTTTGGCCTCCGTCGTTCAGGATGGCGTTCTCGCCCCAGCGCGGGCCTTTTTCTCGCGCGCCCATCCGCCCGCCACCACCGCGCCGCACCGCCACCACCACCACCACCACCACCACCACCACCACCACCACCACCACAACCACCACCAGCACCAACACCAGTACCAACACCACCACCACCAGCACCACCACCACCACCACCACCAGCACCACCACCACCACCATCACCACCACCACCACCACCACCACCACCACCAGCACCACCACCACCACCACCACGACAACCACGCACACACGCACGCACGCACGCACGTGCACCACCACCCACTACTCACGCGCGCGCGGAGCCACAGGTCCGCTACAACACGCGTCCGCGGATAGAGAAAATCAGCGCCGTGGTAAGGGATGGGAGGGAGGGGTAGGACGTCAGATATGACGCGAGCGCACCTAGCTTGCCCTCCACCCCCTCCCTTCCTCCGCCCCGCCCCGCCCGCGACCCCCCCCCCCCCGGGCCGGGCTTCGCGCTGGGGGCGGCCCGGCCGGCCCGCGAGGCCCTGCTCTCCGGCGCCACCGCGGCCATGGAGACGCAGAGGCTGGTGGCGAACGCGGCGAGGCTGAGGAGGACGCGGGGGAGGGCGGGGGGGGGGCCGAGCTCTAGGTCGGGCCTGTCCCTCAACACAGGGGGATTTCCGACGAAAAATTACCCTGCGACGTACCCAACCCGCGTGCATCAAATGGCAAGAGGAGTATGCCAACATTAGCAGGAACAACGACAGTGTAGACGCGGCGATTTGCTGTGCAAGCTACATGGGATGCGCGTGCGTTGCACGATTCACAGGACGACGATCGAAAGAACGAGGATTGAGGCCCCAGGATCGAAGAAGAACGGGTACGGGAACGAGGGGTAGGAGAGGGATGGAATGGAGGGCGGGGGGGGCGAAAGGCCATCGCGGAAGCAGCAGCATGCATGGAGAAGGTGAGGCGGGGAATAGGACGACGATGAAAGTGGCGGGAGGAGACAGAAGACTGCCGCGTTTTTCAAGTGCGAGCTAAACCCGCAGCGCTGCCTGCGCCATGTCGTCGCAGAGTTCCACATGATAAAATTTGTTTAGAGTGCAAGGAACGAGCGAGGCGTAGCTCGCCCGCTAGCTTTTCCGCCTCCTTCCCGCACATTTCAGCGCGGGAGCTGAACGCTCGCAGGCGCGCCGCCAGGTCTGCGGGCGGCCCGCGGGAAAGAAACTCAAGGCCGGGGTCGCGTATCATCAATCGGTTGTCCATCGTCCAAAGTTGCACTGGCGACGTACTGGTTGAACGCGGAGCGAGCAGCATCACGCGCGTGCCTGAACGCCACGCAGGTACAGTGCACGCGCGATTGGGACTTCAGGTCGATCACGCGCGTCTCCACCAGGCGACTTCAGGTCGATCACGCGACAGTTTCACAGATCGCAGCCCCCCAGGGATGGCGAGGTTAATCTGTATCCCCGTAGGGCGTCACTCCGCTGGGCCCCCCACGCAGCCTTCGAAAGTGGCGACACTTTCACAGATCGCAGCCCCCCAGGGATGGCGAGGTCTAATCTGAATCCCCGTAGGGCGTCACTCCGCTGGGCCCCCCAGCAGCCCTCGAAAGTGGCGACAGTTTCGCAGATCGCAGCCCCCCAGGGATGGCGAGGTCTAATTTGAGTCTGCGGTGAGTACCCACTGCGCTGGGCTCCTCAGCAGCCCTCGAAAGTGGCGACAGTTCCACAGATCGCAGCCCCCCAAGGATGGCGAGGTCTAATCTGAGTTGCGGTGAATACCCACTGTGCTGGGCCCCCCAGCAGCCCTCGAAAGTGGCGACAGCTTCACAGATCGCAGCCCCACAGGGATGGCGAGGTCTAATTTGAGTCTGCGGTGAGTACCCACTGTGCTGTGCCCCTCAGCAGCCCTCGAAAGTGGCGACAGTTTCACAGATCGCAACCCCCCAGGGATGGCGAGGTCTACTCTGAGTCTGCGGTGAGTACCCACTGTGCTGGACCCCTCACCAGCCCTCGAAAGTGGCGACAGTTTTTCACGGATCGCAGCCCCCCAGCGATGGCGAGGTCTAATCTGAAGCCCCGTAAGACGTCACTCTGCTCGCCCCACAGCAGCCCTCGAAAGTGGCGACAGTTTCGCAGATCGCAGCCACCCAGGGATGGCGAGGTGGAGGGAAGAGAGGAGCAAGGGAGGAGAGGAGGAGGGAAGATAGGAGAAGGGAAGCAAGAGAGGGGAGAGGAGGAGGGAAGAGAGGTGGAGGGAGGCGGGAGGAAGGAGTGGAGACCGCAGTGCTCTATTTGAAACGAGTGCCCAACGCAGGAGGGTTGGGAATAAAACAGACCCTCCAAAATCATTCGAGAAAGAGTCCAAACATCATATGTTTTTTATATAAACAAATGTTTGAGCTTTTTGGGGGTTATTTATGGGGTAATTTTTATTTTTCGTCGAACATATCCCTGTAGGGGGACACGCCCGACATAAGCCGAGCTGTCAGAGGACGGAAAGGTACCCATACCTCTGCCCTGTCCACGTTTTCCCTTCTCTCCCGGCCTCCTCGGAGGCCCTCGTCGCAACCGCTGGATTCGCTTCGAAACGCTGGTCCGAACGCACCCCAGGAGAGGTCTGGGAAGTAGCGGTATGAGCGTGTTTCTTTAGACTCAGGCAAATATATTTGCATGGCAGTTTGCCCCCCCCCCCCCCCGCCCCCCCGCTTCTAATTCGCATAGTACTGGGCCGAAAAAGTGTGCAAGTGCTTTTCGACTTGCGTGATTTCCGTGGCACCCCTCCCCCCACGCGTGCAAGTGCAAGGCGCTGGGTCGTCTGTCAAGTGCAGCTGTCTGCTTGCTAAAAGATCGCCGTCGTAGCCCCACCGGCATGGACTTGGCAGAATTTCTGGCTTCATGGTCACAAATTTGCACTCTGAATGGTTCCCGTGGGTGCTCGGGCGTTCCTGCTACTTGCGAGGCGCGGACCCCCCCCCCCCCAAACGTGCAAATCGCTCGTGGCTTGCTCCGGGTTCAGCGCCCCCCCCCGTGCATGCAAGCAATATTGCCAGAGTCTGAGAAAACAAGCTCTATCGGTGCCTTTGGTCTTCTGGAGGCGGTTCGATATTTCCGATTCGATTCGATTTCGATGGTCTCCGGTTCCGATTCGTGTCGACTTGGGATTCCGATCTGGGCTCCGATGTCTCAGCGAAGGCCTACTAGCCTGCCGATTTCCGCCGATTCGACTTTTCTCGACTCGGCTGCCGATTTCCGCCGATTCCGATTCATTTCGATCGCCGATCCTACTTATCGATTCGATTCTGGGCTTTCCTGCGGGGGGGGGGTCGAGCTGGGTGCGCTCGTGACTATCTGGAATCCTACCCCCCCCTCCCATCCTTTCCCGTGGCGCTGATGTTTCATTCTCCGCGGGTGCGTGTCATATAGCCGACCTGCGACTTCCACAGGGGGGTGCCACTTCTTGTGATGCGCAATCTGAAGCAGGGGAGCTGCGTGCACTGGAGGAGGAGGTAGCGGGTGAGCAGGAGGATGAGCGGGACGAGAAGGATGATTACGAACAGTAGCCAGAACCAAAGCGGAAGGATCGGGAGGAAAGGGAGGACCAGGGGAAGGCGGAAGAGGGGAAATGAGGGGGGCGACAATGATTAGAAAAGGTTCGGATTCAGAAAAGTGGCCCGCGCTGAGGCGAGATGAACAGCAGCAGCACTAATTGGAGCGGAGGGAGCGGGAGGAACAGGAGGACCAGTGGAAGGCGGAAAAGGGGAAACTAGGGGAAGACCATAATGAAGCAAGGCTCGGATCCGGAAGAGTGGCCCGCGCTGGGGCGAGAGCGCCATTCTGAACGACGGGAAAAAACACCGATCCGAAAATGAGGCCCACGCTTCAGCGGGAGAATGGTGAAACACCGAAAGCAATCGGACTGTAAAACATCATGAGACAAATCAATGTGTGAAATCCTTTTTATAGAAAAACACACGGAAGGGGGCGGGATATTATCCAGACAACTTCAGGCGAGGAGGGAGAGTAGTATTCATATGGTCTAATTGTAAAGTGGAGTGGGTAGATGGAGGAGGAAGGCACGCCGTCTGCGTCAACGTCCCCCCTTCTCTCTCTCGCTCTCTTTCTCTCTTTCTCTCTTTCTCTCTTTCTCTCTCTCTCTCTTTGTTTTCTCTCTCTCTCTCTCTTATCTTTCTCCTCGCCAGCTGATTCCTCTCCAGCCCTTGTCGCTGCTGCCCGCACATTGCATTGAGAATTTGGTTGCGAGTCTTGAGACGTGTATCTCCCTTGTTCTTGACTGCTGGGGATCCCTTTCAATTTGTTTTCATCTGATCCGATAGAAACAGGATGATTGTATTGGACACTTCAGGGCGACAAGACAGAACGAGCCAGCATGGCAAAACACCGGGGTAAAAACCGTCCCCACCAACAAGGTGGGGGCGGTCCGCCTGTCCTATCTTCCACTCGGCGCAATTCCAAAGCAAGGGTAGGTTCCATCACCTCGGCCGGCCCCTACCTGTACGAGGGATGCTTCAGCTCCCTGACACGCTTCCAAGCGGCCTTAGCGCCATAGGATCTGAATGCGTCATCACATTCATTCTGTAAATTTGCAGGCCGACCATCGGAAGTGTAACTTCCGGAGGCGCTACAGATTATGAAAGATTATGGTGAATACGTCATCGACGACAGAGAAGTCAGCAATGTACAGCTTGTGACCCTTGAGGTTACGAGGCGCATCGCGGAGTCCGTCCGGGAAACTTGGGCAACGGCAAGCATGCGAACGCTCCTCGCCGTGGCGTTTCCCGAAACATCCCGCGCACCTCCAGCCAGCGCGAGGAGCGGGGTTGCCATGCCCACTGGTGAGAAAAAAGGGGGGGAACCTGAGTTGGAGGGGAGGCAGTGCCAGGGGCAAGAGGGGCAGGCTGCACGTTGTCAGCACGCCCCCCCGCAACGGGGAGGTATGATGAGGGGAAGGAGGAGGAGGAGGAGGAGGAGAAGGAGGAGGAGGAGGACAAGCAAGAGGAGAGGGAGGACAAGGAGGAGGAGGAGGAGGAAGAGGAGGAGAAAGAGGTGTGTCAATATGGCCCCCCCATGTTACTGTGCAACTGCTGGCGCTTGGCTCAAGTCTATACACGCCAAGCGGCGGTGCAGGACCCGCTTATTTACACTTAGTACTACCCTTGACTCAAGAGGTCATAAGAGATCCTTTTCTCATAACCATTTTCCGGTTGGAATTGCATGGTAGCGGAGCAACGTTATTGCAGCCGGACCAGGAACATGAATACCTACGACGAGACAGGAGTGAATTTATACAATATCACCAAGTTCGTGGTCAATTGTCGAAGGGCCAAGCAACAAAGCGACTACGAGCCCATGAAAGCCGCATGGCAAGCCAACCGCGAGGCGCTGACACATTACATGGGCCAGCAAGAGCAGCGCACTGGCAACCAGGATTTACTTAATGAGCATGTTATGTCAAGGGTGACAATACTTGGCAAGTTCAATGCAGCGATGCTGGGCATAATCAGCCAGGAATGCAGACATGCAACGGAAACCGTAACGGTAAAGTCAGGAGTCGCCGAATTTGAGAATTCAGCGAAACAGGTGGCAC